GCAGTGCAGTGCAGTGCAGGTGCAGTGCAGTACTGCACTGCACTGCACTGCACTGCACTGCACTGCACTGCACTGCACTGCACTGCACTGCACTGCACTGCACTGCACTGCACTGCACTGCACTGCACTGCACTGCACTGCACTGCACTGCACTGCACTGCACTGCAGTGCAGTGCAGCAGGGTGAGCGTTCTTGGCCGTGTAGAACCCACACTTCTCTATGACAGGAAACAACGCCCAAAGATGGAAATGGAGAAAATTGTAGATTACATTATTAATAAAAGTTAAACTGTCGGATAAAATTCGTTCTTCGAAAATTTGTGGTTGTCATTTTACCGGGAACTTCTTTCTTATATTTATTCAGCTTTATAGGCAAATTACATGTCGATGACACCCAAATTGCAACATCTAATAGCGATATCAATGTGATCTTAGAGAATCTTAACCCAGATTTAATAAATGTTTCGACTTGGATGTCAGCTAATAAATTAACTTTGAACAATAAAAAAACGGAGTTCATGGTTATAGGTAGCAATAAGCGACTTGGCCAAATAGTCCAAGAACCCTCAATTTGTGTGAGAGGCAAAGAGATTAAAAAGGTTAATACAACCAAGTCGCTTGGCCTAATGATTGATGATACTTTATGCCGGTCGGCCCAAGTTGAAAAAATTACAAAAAAAGTTAACTCGGGACTCAGCATTATTAGAAGACTGCGGGATATTGTTGATTATAATACTTTAATAACTGTTTATAAATCAATAATCCAACCACACTTTGATTATTGCTCACAAGTTTGGGGTTGCCTAGGAAAGGTTTTATCAGATAAACTTCAGCGTTTCCAAAATAGAGCGTTTCGTATTATTACCCGTGAAGGATATGAAACGCGATCAAAAGATATTCTAATCAGGGCAGGATTTTCAGATCTGCAAACAAGAAGGGAACAACAACTTGCTACATTAATGGATAAGATTAAACATAAAATGCTTCCAAACTACCTGCAGGATATTTTCATCAATACGCAAGAAGTCCATAATCATAACACTAGGCATAGTGAATTTAATTATACATTACCAATGCCAAATACTAATGCTATGAAAAAATCATTGGCCTACAGAGGTGCAGAGACTTGGAATGCTCTCCCAATTGACCTGAAGTCGTTAGGAAGTATAGCAACTTTTAAGAGTGGGGTAAAACAATGCAGATTGATATAATGTTAAGTTATAAATTTTTTTTATATTTATAGTAGTTAGCACACGGCCTATTGGAAGATCACTTTTTTCTGGTTGTTTTTGTAAATAATATATTTTTAATATAATGTGAAATAGTACCGTGTTTAAATAAAGTTGAAGTTGAAGTTGAAGTTGAAAGTTCGCAATGGTCTAGCAAACAACGAATTCGATTAAATTTGCCCATTTCAGCGTTTTATCCCCATTTCAGCGTTTGATCCCCATTTCAGCGTTTTATCCCCATTTCAGCATTTTATCCCCATTTCAGTTTCCGCTTTCAGTTTCCGTTTCCGCGATTCAGTTTCAGCGTTTTATCCCTACCCTAAAACTTGTCTATTTTATAGTTAAAAGTTCTTTTTATAATTCACAAATAAAATATTTTTTAAAGAGCGCCGCAGCCGATTGAGCGCGGCCCCCCAATGAGCGCCGCATCTGAAGCTCTAAAAATTTAAAGAGCGCCGCGGCACTTAAAGGACATTGGCAACTAAAATTTTTATTACTTATATCTATTAGGTATACTTACGGAATATTTAATTTCATATTCAGTTTGCCGGTTTGTCGCGTTTTAGTTGTTGAGAAAATTTAATAAAAAGTTTAACAGTTGTCCGCCATTTTGGAAATAAACGTGTATGCTAATTTATGCCACAACATACATTATCTAAAATGCAAAACAATAGATACTCCGAAAATTGAAAGCATTTTGAAAAATTTATTAATTTATTGAATTTATTTCATGGAATGGATTCCCTCGAAAACTTTCTAGAAAACTTTTAACATTGTTCAAACCCTCTTCTCCTAACCCAAATAACTCTAATAATGCTGTCATTGACCCCACTACTACAGGCTAACTACAACAAAGATCTGGATTCATTTACCTTTCCTCGGTAAATATGGAACTAAACTCACTAATAACCTCATTCGAAAAATAAGTCCTCTACTGAAATCCCCTTGCAAATTTATCGTCATGAACTGGAAAACTACTGATACTAATTGCTTCATCTCACTTAATTATAAAGACCCAACACCAAAAACGTATCACTGCTCCGTTGTGTATGAATTCAAATGCCCTGGATGTAATGCTAACTACGTAGGAAAATCTGATCGCTGCCTATATACCCGTATTAAAGAGCATTCTTCTCTTGACTCTTCTGAAATATATAACCATATTACTAACTGTAATGAATTCAATTTTGTAAAAAACCTACTCGAACTAACACCTAATGACGAAGTTAATAACATTAATCATGCAGTAACAAATTTAATATTTACTAACACTAAGATAATAGATAAATCCAATCACTGGTCGTTGATACTTTATCAAGAGTCTATTGCTACTAGTAGAATGAAACCGTCCCTAAAGCCTGGTTCACTATGCCTGCGGTATGCCTGCGACTGTATCATTATGCCTCTTGACTTGCCGCTGAAATACCGGCAAAGTTGAACTCAACTCAACTTTCCCGGCCTACCGCCGATGTAACTGTGGCACTGGAGGCAATCGGCGAACAAATATTCACATAATTTACGTTTTAAGCTACCACCGGCATCGTCGTCGGTACGTCGCAGGCACGTCGCAGGCATATATGTGAACCAGGCTTAAACCATGGAACAAAAGCCTCTAAATATCTATTAATATTTAACTAATCGTATCTTGTTACTTCACTATATATACTTGTACATATGTAATATCATCATCATTCATTTCCTGATGATGACTATAGTTTAGTCGAAACGTCGAAATAAATTTTTCAAAATGCTTTCAATTTTCGGAGTATCTATTGTTTTGTATTTTATCAAAATACTCAGTGGTTCCCGTAATACATTATCTGACGTCATTAGATGGGTAAACACAATTTCAAAGTTTTACCAAGTATGTAACTTGTTTGTAACACTATTTCTCATAGTATATATCCTACTCCATTCCTTGCTTTCCCAATCGCTCGATATGTTTTTATCTGATAGTGTAGACTTCTCTTGTTTGATTGCGAAGAGTGTTGGCCAGTATAACGCTCAAAAGCGACATATTTTTAGCTAACATATAAACACGCTGCTACCCATCTAATGACGTCACAAAATTCGAGATAATTTTTCAAAAATATTTTCCAAGATGGCGGCGAAACACAAAGTTTGCATGCATTTTACTCGTTGACTAAAATGTTCGAGAAGGAAATGATAATATTTTCATAGTTAGAGGGTCCTGAAGGGGGGGGGGGGTCCCAATCCCATTTCCCACCTGAAATTTTGGCAAAATCCCAGTCCCAGTTGGATTTTTATTAGAAATTCCACTCCGAGTTATTGAAATCCCAGTCAATAAAAAAACCTTTATTTATCGGTAGAATAAACAGCTTTAAGACCTTTTAAGCCACCGTGTGTGCAAGTGGCGGACACTTTATGAAATACTGGGAGGGGGCTCGGGCCGAAGGCACGGAAAATTTTAAAATTTGAATCCCGGAAATGGCATTTGCAGCATTCTAAGACACGCATAATCAGAAAACCCAGAATTCCGGGCGCCAGAGTATGCCTGTTCGCAGGTAGTGCTGTGAATAATATAGTTAACAACAAAAATCATGACCAAAGGCACAAAAAACGGATCAAAATTGGGAATCGACTCGCATTACTTCAATCCCATTCCCATTTTTGAGAACTTCATTTCCCATTCCCAGTGGCCAAATCCCAGTCCCAGCAACCCAAATCCCATTTTCCCAGTCTAAAAATAGATAAATCCCAGTTCCCATTTTACCCCTTCAGGACCCTCTAGTTAGGTCGTCAAGTAGGATTGAAATAGCCAATAAAAATTTTCGTTGCCATTATCCTTGAGCAAGAGTGCATGTCCCATCGTCCTTTGCGATCGCTGAGCTGTACAATTACTTCATGTAAGGTACAGTACAGACCTGCCAACTCTCACGATTCCACCGTGTGACACACGATTTTTGTACATTTCTCCCAGTCTCACGACATGACTCAGTTTTCTCACGATTTTAATTCTTCATTTCATTTCCGGCAATTTACTTTGTGACCTCTACTTTAGTTTGACATTAAGATTTTATTCAGACAGAAATTACTTGTTTATAATTCTTAAATTCCAGGATTTTTCATTTGATTAGTTGAAGTAAAGTTAAGTCAGAAATTCCGAAAAAATACGTTAGTTTCGGGCGAGACGGTGCAGTTAGTTTTTGATAGTTTTTTGCAGGCTAATGCATAAATTACATAAATTATGCATCACATCCCTCTATTTAAATACAACATAGCGTCAATGAAGTTCTTATTCAACAGTTTTTCCTACTGTATTCATAAACGTATTGTAAATGTTAAATACTGTCAAATTAATTCATTCTCACTACTTTTTGTGAAATATCCAGATTTTTTGTCACTAGAGAAGAAAATCTCCAGATTTTTTACTCTCTCAGGTTGGCAGGTCTGCCGTACACTACACTTAAATGCCACAAAAACGAGGCTCTACAGGGTGCATGTATCAAAAAAATTTTCCTAAAAAATTAGCCTTTAATTTGCAATTGCATACTTAATTAATGCCTTTGCCTAATTTAAAGGGCTTAAACTAAAGCAAATTGTCTGAAATTTTGTACAGTAATTAAAAACCGAACAAAATTTTCCATCCATTAACTCAAAATACGACTAAAGCTTTTAAATTTCCCTGGTTTACAAAATTTGAGTTCGAGTATTTTTTCTTTATCATCTACATTATGGACACTCAAGAAAGCTATATACAGTATAACAAACTTGATACCACAAGCTGTTTTGCGAAATTGAGAGCAATTTCAAATCTGTTCAGCCTTTATAGTCAAATGACGTAGCTACTATCCGGAAGGGTGTATTAACATATGCGAAAGAAACAAAAGCCTGAAATCCAAATAGCCAAGTTGACTGGTTATGTCTGAGAGCCAGGAAGCCTCAATTGCACGTACTGTTACAGAATTGAAAATGTTATTAATAAACTGCAATGTTTAACATCTCAAACCAAAGTAATATCTATAAAACCGATTCTCCAGCCCACATGAAGTTAACTTGCGATCAGGCCTTTATAATATGAAGTATTCAAAAACTCTGACTTAATAAACTTGTCGGATGATGTGCTGGATGTTCTATTCTCATGATCAGAAGAATATATATAGGCATCTGTGAGTGGGCAAAATTTCATACGCTATCACATAGGTGTTGCTCGTACATTAAGTGATGAAACGATCGAGTGGAACATTTAACTGCTTTCAACGTTGTTTTCAATCTTCTAGTTTTAAACTAGAGAGTAGAGTACTACTTCAAAAATAGAGCGTGACGTTTTGGCAAGCTTAAGAAAGGAACGTGTGTTCAAGAGCTCTCGACAAGATGCTCCCAATTAGAATTTATAATGTTGATCTTGAACCAACACAAGTCTTTGTTGTTGAGTGACAGTAACTGTTTAGGCAAAGCTAATGCATTCATCACACATCGACGTACAGACATCATAAGACAGTCCCACTGTATTTGATATTGTGTGGTTGTTTGGTTTAGTTGTTTCATCACAGGTATATAATAATACAACTATATCTGTTGCAAACTGTATCGACATATATCCACATACTGGTATGCTGGGTCTTGAATTTTTTCTCATCCATAACATGGTCGCTTTACGTTCCTCTGGGTAATTTATACGGAATGGAGGGAATTCAGTTTAGTTGGGCAACATAATAAAGCTTGGGAGACAGTCTATTTGAAAAGAAACATAATTGAGCCGTCAAAATGAATGCTCCCAGCTGGAGTGCATGAAACCGGACACCAGACAACATTTAATGCTGTTTATTTTGTAGCTATACAACAAGATATAGCGTCTTAGTTATTTCAATATTATACAGTTGTGTGTGAATTGTATTCAAGTCATAGAGAACAATGCCTCAGCCAAATGGAGTTACGAGCACAGTGACATCAATAAAATGGAGAAAGGAATACAAACATTACCGTTCTTCGCGTTGCCGACTGTATTTATGTATGATTTTATTCATGGTGTTCATTGCGTTATCAGTGGTATGCGCTACGTTTCTGTTCAGGAATTCATTTTATTTTCATCCAAAGGACTATGAATTGAACAGCGGAGAAATGCGTGTCGTTAAAGTATCAACTTTGTTTTGCGAAAGTATTGTGATGAAACCAGCGAGTTTCGAACGACAGATTATAGTTATTTCGCCTCCGTTAGCACGACGCGCGGCCCAAAATAAATTCATGTCTAACGATATAGTGCTACTACGTCGAGATCGTCCTTGGTATAGGTCCTTTTATCTTCTAAAAGGTTCAATAGTAAGCGTGCATGTTGCAAGCCGCCATTCCATCAATGTTTATTGGCTAAAAGGACGCAAGATCCTAGATAAATGGGCCGATGAAATGAGTAACGATTTGAAAGAATCGTCAAAGCAGAACTCTGACAAATTCACTGGCACACGTATGGCCGAGACGTTTACTGTAAATGAGGATAATAACTATTATTTGGGAATTACATCGATCGCTGGCAATACTAAATACTCGGAGATATTTGTGAATACGAGTATTAACCGTATAACATACTATGCGAGTTCACATGTGACATCTTGTAATGCAAGCGTTGGCCAGTCATGTCAGGTGAAGTTGCGTTTTAATTCACCAGATACCGCTGTGATAATGCTACCAAACAATTTGACTGCGTTGCGAACGCACGATGTCTGGGTGACTTGGTACTGTCAGCCAAGAATTTGGTTCTATTCTGCCGTGTTTGCTGGTGGTTTTATTCTCGTTGTCATGGTCCTGACCTTTGTGTATTGTTGTATAATGTCGAGAGTAAAGAAAAAGATTCGCGAATGGAAACCGCATGTTACCGCGGTACGAAGAGAGAATAGCCATAGAGAAAACGGGGGAGTGACATTGACATCAATCAACATTCGAGGAAGTATTTTGGATGATAACTGTGAAAATGTATTAGAACTAACTCCACTGAGATTAACCCCAGCTCGAGACACCTGTCAGGAAAATAATAAACCTGATATGCCAAGCCATAGCACTCCAAACGGTTTGAACAGTGTTGACGGTGCTAATAATAATATTCCTAGTATTAGCACAGCGCTGACATCATTCAACGACGCGAATTATGTAGATTCTGCGACTGACCCGCGAGAAACTGCGGCCGCGTTATGGCGAACGCCATCTCCTGTGCGCTGGTCGACTTTCTTGAGCGACGACGATTACGAGGAATGTGTAACAAATTTCCGCGAATCACCAATCAACACTCTGGACTCAATCAAGAAAGCGTCGGAGGATGACAATTTTGAATCTGATCTCATGGATCGTTTCCAAAATTTACACACCGAGTTTGACGGGCCTATAGAGACGGACATTGATAATGCCGAATCTGAAACGTGTCCTTTCTTGGCCGAGGAAAACCCAGATTCAGATTTAGTATTGAGACAAAAAGACAAACGGAAAGAACAAAGATGGGAGCCAAGACTATCTGTAGTGTCTGAAATATAGTCTATAAAGCTCTACGCCATATTTTCAATGACAATACAGTATACAAAAACTGTCTGTACCAGTGTGGGTTGTACCAATGTGAAAATGCTGTGCTGAATGGTTATCAATTACTACCTTAAAAAACAATTCGCTCGAAACGTCGAGTTTCTGCTTGTTTTTTAAGGTAGTAATATAACCACTCAGCACAGCATTTATACAGTATACAGTATACATCAGTGGCCTTGGCTTGGGGATTCATACCACTGTCCAAAGTGCTGATTTTGTAGTATGTTATTTAAAGTTTGATATTTAACTGTTTATTGACTAGAGGACTTCTACAGTAAAGCCCTAGCTTAATTCTTCTATAACATAAGTTTAGAGTAATCACGGACACGGAAAAAATTGCATCACAAATTGTCCGTGTAGCAAAAATGTTGGAATATTTTTAAGTGCATGTCAGTGTGGAATTTGGCGTATGGGGAAAAGAATGCGATGTTTTGATGTATTTGACTTTATTATTCTTCAATAGTGTAAACAATTCTAAAAGAATAAATTAAATGTTTACGAAATCAAAGGTCACAAAAAGGCATGATGGAAAACGCCGGTACCGGGTATCAAAAATAAAAAAAAATAGATTATATGAAAAATAAATATTTTGTACAAAGAATTCCGAAATATCAATAAAACGAAAACAACCACCGCCAAATCTAGTCAAAACTCTCTTCTGCTCACCTTTTTTTGACATTTCACTGAGATGATTGACTTAAGCAGAGCACAACGAACAATTCGTTGTCTCGAGCGGGTTCGGACTGCTCGCGCCTTTGGGTTTCTATCTACGTCAAGCGTTCGGCGTTTTTGAGTTCCTAACTTAATTGCAATTTTCCGCATTACCTTTGCGAGTGTGAAAAACTCCCTTGCAAATGCCTTGAGGGAATTTGCAATGTTCCTAAAAGTCAATTAAATTTTCCTCAATTCCTGTTAAAAGTTCTTCACTTCCTGTTACAAGTTCCTAACTTCGTGTTTTTTTGCGTGCATTGTAATTGGCTAACAAGAATAATCCACCAATGACAACGCTCAGAACAGAACAGGAAGTCAGGAAATTAAAACAGGAAGTTAGGAAAATTTGAAAGGAAGTTTCTTTGCATTGGAATGCCACAACAGCCGATAGGAACATTGCAAATTCCCTCAAGGGAGTTTGCAAGGGAGTTTTTCAAATTTGCAAAGGTAATGAGGAAAATTGCAATCAAGTTAGAAACTCAAAAGAGGAACGCTTGACGTAGTTTTCCTGTAATAACGAACGAAAGGTATATATTATCCTGAACGTTTCGCAACTTTCGCGCATGCACGAATATCTTTCCCTTTGATATCCCAATCCAAACCTCTTCTCTAACCCCTTACCCCGTTGCGCGCGAAACATGATGTTGCAACCAAAAATGTTGTTTATTAATTTTCAAAATGTTATTAATTTTCAAAATGTTTGTTAATTTTCAAAGTTCAGCAGTGACGATAAAATTTGCACAACTAATGCAAATAATCAAGGATTGTTGTCACTGAATTACAAAATTACTTTATTTACTACTAATTTTAATTTTAATTTATATGTATAAAAGCCCAAGTTGCATGGTGTAGCCGAATCAAAGATGTTTCACTCAATTTTCATGCCCTAACAAAACAACTAATTTAATTTAGTATGTAACATGGCAGGCAACTTCACATCGCAAATAACAGTGGGAACGCTTAGTTATTTTACGCTTGCGCAATTGTTCGGTCTACAACCCCATATTTTTAGAACATTCCAATACGGTATTCAATAATATTTTTTGCAACGGGGTATCCAGAGCCTTTTTTAAGAATTCGTCAGGGGGGCATCTGCAAAAAAGGACCATACTATACTGATGTGGAGATGGTGGTGACAAAAAGTTTGATGTGGTGTCGTATGTAATATAGTAGCGGGTCTGGGGGCATTTTGCCCCAGAAAATGTTCGTATTTTTCCATCCCCAGGACTGCATTTCGTGTGTTTTCTGAAACTGAGAGTTTTGGTTATACAGCATTACATTATACTGTAGATAGACTGAATCTTCGGTTAAGTGTTTGCATGGTGTCTATTATTGGTATGTTTATGTAAATACAACAACTTGCTCGATCACTAACTTGTTTAGCCTAGCTTTGCAACAACTCAAATCTATAGAGTCTGGGATCGTCCTTGGCATAGGTCCTTTTATCTTCTAAAAGGTTTGATCTAAGCGTGCATGTTGTAAGCCGCCACTGGGAAATTTTTAAAACCTAAGGTATTTACAACACAATATAATTTAGCATTTTCGGCTGAAAAGACATTGAATCATTTCAAGATAAAAGACATGACATAAATTTCACAAAGCAAATTTCAGTTACTAGAATATCAATTTCATTTTTCGTCCAATGTTTTGCTCATATTTTAGAGAAAAGGGACCTTGACAGTGGAAGGGGGGGGGGGGGTCAAAAAGGTTGACCTGGGGCACCATGGTATAGTTAAAAAAGGCCCTGGGGTATCATGGGGGAAGAAACGGTATAGATCATAGATATAGGAGATCTAGATTGCTAACGCATACCTAGCGCAGGGCCTACATGATAAATCCAAGATGGCGGTACAACAGGGCAAAAAGACTATAAATTCTATTACGAAAATCAGGATTTTTGCATTTTTTGCCGTCGCATTGTTTTGAAACTTATTCGGTCAAATTGTATGGTAAAGAGAAACTTACCGCGAAGATTTTGAGCATATATATGATTGAATTGGATGAAAACTCGCAAAATTATCCATCGATAAAAGTTCGTGTATAGTACTGATATAGTACTATATATGTAACTTGTACAGTTTTGCTTTAATTTTTGCTCACTATTTGCATAAAAAGCAAATTATAACAGACCATAGATGATAGACCCTCATCCAGTGCTCTCATCAGTTTACTTCTCTAACAAGCAAGGAGGGGGGGGGGGGTACATAACAGTTCATTTTTCATAATTATGAGGACAGAGCAGATGATGATGAGAGATGCAAGTATAAAACACCATTCACAAGGCTAGATGTTAACA